CCTATATTCTGAAGAGTATTTTAAAAGGCTAATATACATCAGAATAACATCTGAAATACAGTCAAAATGTTTGTAAGATATATTTATGTTTTTATTTGCACTTAGGCAAGAAAGAGTGCTATTTTAAAACATAGTGCCTATCTAATAAAGTATGAGTTTTTAAGATAAAAAATTACATTGAAATAAATGTTTAAATGGATCATAAATTATCAGAAATAGACACATTATTAACTAACATCTTATTGCTAGAATGAGCAACCAGCATCAAGTATATAGAACAAAAAGTTAATTATTGTAATTATAACACTTTTTAAAGACCCCTTTATATACATTTCTCATTTGATCCTCTTAACTTTAATCTCCATTTGAAAAACAATAGAAATTATTATCCCAACTTACAGATGATAAAACTAAAGTTGAAAATTATATGGTTATAAGAAAAATGAATTATGAATGGTACACTAATATGGCACTGCCAAATTTAAAAAACAAGCATAAAAGCAACTGGAGGTAATAACTGATACAGCACATAACCTGCAATCTAAAATAAATGCAACTTAATTTAAGAAGATAATGCATCCTGGTATAGCCAAATGAGTATTTAGGTCCAAAGAAATCCCTAGAACAGAGTTCATACTGGGGATGAACATCAGAATCACTTAGGCAGTTTTTTCAAAACATGTATGTCCTTACCCCACTTGAGATGTTTAAAAGAAAAAGAAATCTTCAAAGTTTTTAAAGCCCAGATACATGTTTCTGAAAAAGCCTTCCAAGAAATTCTAACACACTCCTGATTAAGAATAATTGCCTTAAAACATGAAGTGAAAGCAACAATGCACATATTGAGAGAAACAATCTGGACAAAGCAATTCTGGCTACTCGTAACTTGTTTTTCTCTCCCACTCAAAAAAGAACCTTATTCAAATGCAAGCAAGAAAAATGACAATACAGCAATAGCCTTCAAATGCTCTCATTTATTTAAAAAGTAAATAATTTACAACACAAATATTTGAACTCCTGCAACACATCACACAAATGATTGTCACACCAGTGTGTCAACACCATAGTTGAGAATAGCTGACTAGACTGCATGTCTCTCATAAAGGTCCTGGGTGACAGACTTTGCCTAAGACCTAAAGGAGCCAATGGAGCTAACAATGTACCTTTTTCCAAATATCACCTCTACTAAGTTTGGAGAAAAAGAAAATAAGATCTACTATTTTTTTCCTCAAACCAGGTCTCTCATCAGCCAAAGGCTATTCCAATATATGAGGCTGACTTCATTACTCCAATACATCAGCTGACTTTCAACTGGGCCTTCAGAATCAAAGAAAGGAAATTTTCAGATGGTTATTCAACTAATTCATGCACCACAAGGTAAAAACTGTAAAAGATTCTGGCAATAGGGATTCTGTTACCATGGGGGGTAAAAAGGTAAGTCTTGAAAAAACTCTTGCACATGCCAGGGTAAAATAAAGAAATTTTAAATTCTGTCCTAGATTATACAGGTATTAAAGTTAAAAACAAATGGCAAGACCAAATCACCTCTATTTTAAAAATAAAAATAGAGGAGGCCCAGATAAATATGAATTTCAGAAAAACAATTTTATCCCATGCAATATTTGGGTCATGTGCCTACAAACAAAATCATTTTCAGAGAACCCAGATGAGAGAAAGTTGGAACAAAAGGAAACTCTGAGTCCCTTAAAATGCATAACCTAGATGTTCCTAATTATGATTCATTGTCTGGCTCCTCCCTAGTCATTACATTAACTCATTCCCTTTATCTATGCCTATCATATGTCACCTTATTTAACACCACTGTTATTTCTATTTTTTCAAGTGTTGCATTTCTGAAACATTCATGCTCATGTGTGGCCTTTTACTTAAAAAAAGAAGTCATTAGCTGTAGCTATCCATTCCTAACTTCCAGCCCTGTTATTAAAGATTAAGTTGCATCTTTACTTACTTCCATTTCCCCCCTTTAATCGAGAAAAATAACAGTTCTCTTGAAATTCACACTACAAATAGTTGGTAAGAAGTGAGGTTTACAAAAACAATTCATTCCAGTACTTCCTATTGTGTGACATAGAAGAACCATACTAACGAAAAATGTGAATAAAAATAAATTATCTAAATTTTAAAACATTTTACCAAAGACAGCACTAATTATTAGTTAACAAAGCTATATGCCACACGAAGACATTTTGCTCTTTTTACTGGAACAATGAGAAGGTTTAAATTCAGACATAAAATATCTAATTTTACTTATATTAAATAAAATAGAATAAATATACAAAAGCAACGACTGCCTACTATGCATACCTTAGTTGGGTTTGGGAACATTTTCCTTCATTATGTCTATTATTATGTCAAAAGACTGTAATCAAGGTGTAATGTTTTTAAAAAAAGCAACGAAAAGCAGCTTAATACAAGCTGTGAAATCCTAATTAACCTGCTAACTTATCTAAACAAAATTTAGAATCATATTATATACATGATTTTAAACTACATTCTAAATCACAAAATTTTGCTTGTAAGATTATGATTTATGTTACTTTTACATCATAGCTATCACATAATCAACACTTATACCTATTTACATATGACATCTGGTGAGAAATGAAGAAATGCTCTTAAATGCTTTGTAATGAACAAAAGTACTTTTTGAGGTTTTAATACTACCTTACTACAAAGAGAATCTAAACTAGACAATGAAAAACTAAGTAATTTCTTTTTCCTTTTTTTGTCACTTTTCTGGTTAAATTGCTGTTTCAAAACAGAATAGGAATTTAGAATTTCATTACTGAATCTTTTTCTATCTCTAAGGTCTTTATAACAGATTAAGGAAAAGTACACAGATTCCTTTAAACATTTTTTTTTTTTTTTTTAATTCCAGGCTTGGCAGTTTTCTAACAACCGAATTACAATTTAAATAACTTGTTACATTTTAAATAGTGCCATTTTAATGCAACTCTTGAGAAAAGACCAAAAAAACAAAAAGTTAATCACCCTTCAACTTCTAAACCTTTAAAACTTTCTATTTCTTTAAACATTTCCTCCTTACTTTTAGGGAATCCTTCCTCCTCACAACAGCACAAAATACAGTGTCAATGAACAAATTTAAATTGTATCACATTTTAAAATCCTGTGGGTCTTAACAATATACAGAAATGGTTGTTTCCTCTCTCATTTGAAAAAATTATAAGTATTACATTTATGCAATACATCAATAAAGTTTGATTAAATCGCCAAGAGGCTGAACTTATAATGCTAGGCATTCTTCATTACTTCCAAACAAAATCTTTCTGATAACCAATAAATTAACAAAACATTTGAAGTCATCTTAGCACTTCTAATCTACACATGCTTTGAATTCACAAATTTACAGGATTATCTGAAAGTCTGGTGTCACTTAAGTGGGAAAAGGGAAAGCTGAAATATTTTAAACTTCACTTAGTATTCTCACAACCACAGACAAACTGAAATCAAATGTCATGTGAAACACCCCAATTTCCTTTTCTCCCTACAGCAGTAGCTATGGCATTGTTCTGCTCAACCTTTTAAAAAGGTTCTTTAAGCTTCCTACTTCCTCATCTCCACTAGACATCAACCAACTTCTGAGGGTCACTGGACCAGGCAGTTTGGGGATGTGAGTCAAGTTCATAAACGGTGCCCCCTCTTCAATCTCTTCGGTACAGCATTTAACATATGCATTTAGCCCTCCCTGCCTTTGATCACGCTGCTTCCTCTGTCTGGAAAGCGACCCCCACTCACCTTGGCAAAATCCTGGTAAAAGACCAACTCGAACCCAGGCTACTTAATTTCTCCCCCCACCCCGGCTCTCCCATCCCCCCAACCTTGAGCTCTAGGCACCCCGAAACCACGTCTGTGTATACAGGAGACTCTTCCTTGCTCTGCAATGTTTCTTATAAACTTATTTCCCCCCAAAGGGAGAGATCGAGCAATTTATTAAGGGAAAATATACAGTCACATAAGTGATAAAGTTGTATTCACTACTACCCATTATTTTAAAGCACGGATATTCTAAAACTCCTCTTTCCCCTTATTTCCAGCGGGAAGGAAGGGGGATTCAACGCCTCTATTCGTCAGATTAGAAACTGTGTGCTTTATCTCACAGTAAAAATTACACACTCTATTTTTTTTTTTTTTTTTTTTTTAATAGAGACAGGGTCTCTGTCGCCCATGCTGGAGAAAAGGGGCGCGATCTTGGCTCACTGCAACCTCCACCTCGCCCAGGTTCGAGCGATACTCCTGCCTCAGCCTTCCGAGTAGCTGGGATTACGGGCGCGCGCCACCACGCCAGACTAATTTTTGTATTTTCGGTAGAAACGGGGTTTCAAAATGTTGGCCAGGCTGGTCTCGAACTTCCAACCTCAGATGACCCGCCCGCCTCGCCCTCCCAAAGTGCTGGGATTACAGGTGTGAGCCACCGCGCCCGGCCTACACCTGGTCGATGCAACATTAACACTTAAAATACCACGGATTTTTAAATTCGTGTTAAAATACCACGAATGATTTTTAAAGCCGTGCCACATTTTGTACAACTGTCAGTACAAGAGGGATCACCTCTTTGCATTTGACGAAATTAAAAAGGGGGAGAGAGCTTGCCCGAGGTTTGAAGGTTCCTCATTCTTGTTCTAAAACATAAAACCACCACTTCAATACATATCCATTTTTAACATGAGAACTCCTCGTCCTCCTTTAGTTCGCTTATGACTTCCCTAATCCTAAAAATCAAGTCATTAGGAATTTCTAAGTTTCCTGCTATGACAACAGGATCAAATTACAGAACGCGGCTTGGATTTTGCACGCAAACCCTGATACAGGTAACTTTTTAAAAAGCTGATAATTTTACCATATGAGATTTTAAAGACAGAACGCGCCCCAGCCAAAACTGAGCTCCCTAAACTCACAGTGGCAGGACCCCAAGAAAAGCTCCTTCCCCCCGGCCCAGGTCCCCGCCCCGGAACACTCACCGGAGGCCATGGCTCCGTTCCCCGCACCTTCCCGCAGGCAGTTCCCGGCGTCCTGGCCAGAGGCGGCCGTGGTCAGTCAGTCAGTCAGGAGGCCGAGGGACCTCTGCCGGCGGGGCCCCCAGCACCCCGACCACCCCAGGGTCCTCCTCCTTCTTCCCGCCCTCCGCTGGGTTTGCGGCTCACACCTTCCCACCCCCTGAATTCTTGCGCTCAGGGTCACCCAGCGTCGCCTGTCCACCGTGCGGGAGCCAGGGGCAGGGGGCGCAGCGGGACGAGAACCGAGTGCCGGCCAGGCCGAGAGGCTGGCAGCCTGGCGGGAGGGGAATTTCCCGCGGCTGACGTAGGCCCGGCGCAGCCTTCAAGCCGGAGGCGTGGGGCGGGGCGTCCTAGCAGCCGTCGCGCGCGCGACCGCCCCCAGCGCCCCGCCCTGCCCGCCCCCGCTCACTCTCACCGTCCGCCCCGGCGCGTACGCCCCCGGTGCTGCTGCGGCGGCGGGCTTGGGAGGGGGTCGAGGGAGCCGGAGCTTGGGGTGGGCTTCGGGAGCGCAGGGAACGGCGGCAGCCGGGAGGTCGCAGCGTGAGAAGGCCGCCGGCCCCCGAGAAATCCCCCTCCTCCAGGTTGTTCTTCCGAGTGTGGTTCAGGAGCGGGCGGGGGGGTGCGGATGACGTAGAGAGGGCCGGCGGCCGGGGAGCTTTTGGGGGCGCGCCGGGCGGCCGAGCGGGGCCGACCCTCCAGGCCGGGGAGGGCGACGCCCGGGGTTTTCGAGAGGTGGTTCCCCCTCTTCCCGACTTCGCACATGCAAATCTCCACCCCCGCGCCAGCGCGGAGGGGGAAGTGCGGCTGCTGCAGAGCCTGTCTTCTTCTATAATTCCTCTATTTGCATACGGGGACCCCCCCACCCGGCTGATTTTTTCCTCTTTCTATCTAAATTGCGAGGGTACTGTGAACTTTACGTCTTTTACCTACTGAAACCCGTTTAAACTCAAAAGGTCCGCACTTCCAGGTCGTTGTCTCATTACGCAGTGCGCTGAAGTTTAGTGGACACTGTATCCTGAGATTTCACACAGATACCAAGAAAGGGGGAAATGGAGCAAACAGTGCATTAAAGGACCTAGGATAACTTCGTTTCCTTCATTTGAATAGTACCTGCTATGCGTCAGATAATGTCTATACCTAATCTATGACGTATTTATTATTCCTAATTGTATAGATGAAGTATTCGGGGTTCAGAGAAGTTACTTCAACATACAGCACTTCCAAATGCTGGTAAGAAAAGGCACAGTTTAAAAAAGCCAGGGCTGTCTGACTCCAAAGCTCCATACCCTTGCCTCATCCCTTACTAGTTGAAATAAGTAGGGAGAGGGAATGGGGAGTATCAGCCTGCCATACAAGTGCCCAAAACTGGGGGACCCAGGTGGGCAAATAATTAAAAATATCCTGCCAACTCCAAAGTATTCTTTCCACGAAATGCACAGTGTACAACAAAAGAATGAAACAGTTTTATTATTGGATACGTACTAAAATATACCATGATGCACATCACAGGCAATCCACTGAAGAGGGTGCAAAGACCAAAAAAAAAGAAACCTAATCCTTTCATATAGTCAGGCACATACAATCCATTATATACCTGTTAATTGTCTTTATCCAAAGGAAAATAATGGAAAGTTGTATCTTGGAGCCAAGAGCCAAGGCTTAAACCCCCTAGAGATAGAGACGTGGAGCACCATCCTTGATGTTCACTTTCCAAGAGATGGCTCCAAGGCCCCCAAGAAAGACCTTCTGAGGATGCAAAACTAGCAAGAGGCTTATTTAGCTTTTTAAAACATGTACATACCTTTCAAAGAGATGGAAAACATTTTCAATTCTCTGAAGGAATTTCGTAATGAAAAGTGACTGAGGGAGAGGAACGTTCTGAGGAGGTGACATTTGAGCTGAGTCCTCAATATAAGAAAGAGCTGGCCGGGTGCGGTGGCTCACGACTGTAATCCCAGTACTTTGGGAGGCCAAGGTGGGCGGGTCACCTTAGGTCGGGAGTTCAAGACCAGCCTGACCAACATGGGGAAATCCTGTCTCTACTAAAAATACAAAATTAGCCCTGCATGGTGGCGCATGCCTGTAATCCCAGCTACTTGGGAGGCTGAGGCAGGAGAATCGCTTGAACTCGGGAGGCAGAGGTTGCATTGAGCCAAGATCATGCCATCGCATTCCAGCCTGGGAGACAAGGGCGAAACTCCGTCTAAACAAAAACAAACAAACAAACAAGATAATTTGTTTCACCAACACTTGGTATTGTCCTTTTAATTTTAGCCATTCTGATGGAGGTGTAGCAATACCTTCTTGTGGTTTTTATATACATTTCCCTGATAACTAGAGATGCTGAACCCTTTTTTTGTTTTTGTTTTTTTGGAGACAGAGTCTTGCTTTGTCGCCCAGGCTGGAGTGCAGTGGCGCAATCTCAGCTCACTGGAACCTCCGCCTCCCAGGTTCAAGCGATTCTTCTGCCTCCACTTCCTGAGTAACTGGGACTACAGGCACGCCCACCGCACGTGGCTAATTTTTGTATTTTTTTGGGTTTTGTTTTCATTTTTTTTTTTTATTTTTGTATTTTTAGTAGAGACACGGTTTCTCCGTGTTGGTCAGACTAGTCTCGAACTCCTGTCCTCAGGTGATCCGCCTGACTTGGCCTCCCAAAGTGCTGGACTTACAGGCGTGAGCCACCACGTCCGTCTGCATTTTTTTTTTTTTTTTTAGAAGAGACAGGGTTTCACCATATTGGCCAGGCTGGTCTCCAACTCCTGACCTTGTGATCTGCCCCTGTTCGCCTTCCAAAGTGCTGGAATTACAGGTGTGAGCCACTGCACCTGGCCAAGATACTGAACACCTTTGTAGAAATTTATTAGTCGGCCGGGCGCGGTGGCTCAAGCCTGTAATCCCAGCACTTTGGGAGGCCGAGACGGGCGGATCACGAGGTCAGGAGATCAAGACCATCCTGGCTAACCCGGTGAAACCCCGTCTCTACTAAAAAATACAAAAATCTAGCCGGGTGAGGTGGCGGGCGCCTGTAGTCCCAGCTACTCGGGAGTCTTGAGGCAGGAGAATGGCGTGAACCCGGGAGGCGGAGCTTGCAGTGAGCTGAGATCCGGCCACTGCACTCCAGCCTGGGCGACAGAGCGAAACTCCGCCTCAAAAAAAAAAAAAAAAAGAAAAGAAATTTATTAGTCATTTGGCTATCTTCCTTTGCAGAGTACCTGTTTCAGTCTTTTGTCCATTAAAAAAAAAATTGGGGCTGGGCACTTTGGGAGGCCGAGGCAGGCGGATCACGAGGTCGGTAGTTCAAGACCAGCCTGACCAACATGGTATAACCCCGTCTCTACTAAAAATACAAAATTTAGCTGGGTGTGGTGGCACGCACATGTAATCCCAGCTGCTCAGGAGGCTGAGGCAGGAGAATCGCTTGAACCTGGGAGGAGGAGGCTGCAGTGAGCTGAGATCACACCACTGCACTCCAAACTGGCGACAAAGTGAGAGTCGTCTCAAAAAAAAAAAAAAAAAAATCGGATTATCTATCTTTTTCTTATCGATTTGTAGACATTCTTTATGCATTCTGGATATGAGTATATCAGGTGGGTTCTTTGGGAAGCAAGTAACCATATGAAATTAACAATGCAAGAGATTTATCGAGAGTAACATCTATGAAAGATAAAGGGGAAAGAAAAAAGTTACAGGCAGGGAAAATCTTAAGATGCAGGTCTGACACTGGTGAAAAGAAATGGGAAAGGAAGGTAAATTTGTTAGAAAGAGTGAGATGAGAGTGTATCTTTGAGGAAGTCTCAGTAAATCCAATGGGGAGCTCTAACACAAACACTGTGCACAGAGCTAGTGAGTCCTTATACTACCTCTGTGCTTATAATTGGCTAGGTGGCTCCGAGGAAATTCGTGGCCTTGGCTTGAAAGCTGAGGCAGATCCCCTCTAGAATGGAGATCTGAGCAGAGCACCTCTATGAATGCCACAGAGTTGTTATCAAATATATGCATTGCAAGTATCCTCTCCTAGTATGTGGCTTGCCTTTTCGTTATTTTAGAGAAGTTTTTAACTTAATTAAGTCTGATTTATTTTCTTTGATAGTGTTTTACATGTAATGTTAGAGAACTCTTCTTGGACTGAGGTTATGAAACTATTTTCGTATGTTTTCTTCTAAAAGTTTTATAATACTCAGTAATATTTAACAGAGGCTCTGAAAGACATCTGCTGAATTCTCTCTGTTCCACAGCTGAAGGCCCTGGCTTTGCAAACACACAGGCCTGGATTTGAATCTTAACTCATCCTAGATGGTTAGCTGTGAGACTCTGGGCAAGTCCCTTAGCCTCTCTGTGCCTGTTTGCTTATCTGTAAAATAGGGGTAGTAATATGGTACCTACCTCACAGGCTTCTTGTGAGGACTAATTGTGATCACTAATACAAAGTGCCTGACACAGGGAAAGCACTCAAAAATGTTGGCAGGTTTTTTTCCTGTTTTATTATAAAAATTATTAGGACCAGACATGGTGGCTCATGCCTGTAATCCTAGCATTTTGGGATGCAAAGGTGGGAGGATCACTTGAGCCAGGAGTTCAGGACCAGCCTGGACAACAAAGTGAGACACCATCTCTACAAAAGATTTTTTTTTTTTTAATTAGTCGGGTGTGGTGGCACATACCTGTGGTTCCAGCTACTTGCAAGGCTGAGGAGGGAGGATTGCTTGAGCCTAGGAGGTCAAGGCTACAGTGAGCCATGATCCTTGCTCTGCATTCCAGCCTGGGCAACAGAGTAAGACCCGTCTCAAAAAAAAAAAATTCAAATATACAGCCAAACTGAAAAATTTTTTCGGGGAACATATGTATACCCACTAAGTGGATTCCACCACTAACATTTTACTGCACTTGCCTTATCGCCTGTTTATTTTTCCATCCCTCTGTCTATCCATTCATCTATCTGGTTTTTAAAAATGTATTTCAAAATAAGTTGCAGACACTGGTACTCTTCCCTCTGAATACGTGGACATGTATAACAGTGATTCTTACACTTTAATAACCACCAGAATGATTGTATTTTTTGGATTCAATGGTGTTCTCCCTCAGATAATTCTAGATAAATGGCCAAATTTCGTCTTTGATACCCTCTTTATCTGAGTTACCTGTCTTCTGTTATGTAGTTTATGTAGATACTTTACATCAATTTAAGCCACACGGTTCTCTTACAAAAAGTTAGACCTGATTGAGAGTACCCTGTAGTCCCAATTAGCGTACTACAAGTCACTGCCCAACTCTCTGTAGTGAGGAGGTGTCCTTCCACTATTAAGGACAAATAGCTGCAACAGCTGGGTTCGACCGCTATAAGTGAATTTCACCAGTGCTGTTGGCCAAACCCCACTCCTGCTCTCCTGTTTACTTACTGCATTAGTATTGTTTGAGATCTCTGAAACTCACTTACGTGATTTATAAGATTGTAAAAGACAAAACTAAGGGCAAAACAAACAAACAAAACAAACAAAAAAACCCATAAAGAATGAGAGTTGGGGCGGGGCGCGGTGGCTCACGCCTGTAATCCCAGCACTTTGGGAGGCTGAGGCGGGCAGATCACGAGGTCAGCAGATCGAGACCATCCTGGCTAATATGGTGAAACCCCGTCTCTACTAAAAATACAAAAAAATTAGGCGGACATGGTGGTGGATGCCTGTAGTTCCAGCTACTCGGGAGGCTGAGGCAGGAGAATGGCGTGAACCTGGGAGGCGGAGCTTGCAGTGAGCCGAGATCACGCCCCTACACTCCAGCCTGGGAGACAGAGCAAGACTCCATCTCAAAAAAAAAAAAAAAGAATAAGAGTCAGGTGTGGTGGCTCACCCATGTAATCCCAGCACTTTGAGACTGAGACTTAAGACCAGGAGTTGGAGACCAGCCTGGGCAGCATAGCGAGACCCCCATCTGTACAAAAAAAAAAATATCCAGGTGTGGGGGCATGCACCTGTAATATTAGCTACTTGAGAGGCTTAGGTGGGAGAATCACTTGAACCCAGGAGTTTGAGACTGCAGTGAGCTTTGAACACACCACTGCACTCCAGCCTGGGTGACAGAGCAAGACCCTGTCTCTTAAAAAAATTTCATAAATAGTTTGGCATGTGGCAGCAGACCCAGATCCTGTCATCAGTTTTGCCTGCTGTCCCTCCTTATCTAACACAAGTTCATGTGCTGCCATCTTTAAAGCACACTTTAGGGGAAAGGGATAGTCCCTAAAGTAAAAACTATACCTCTGAGGAAACCTGCACCACTCACCTATTTTCATTTAAGGAACTGAAACATAAGATTAATGAACACCCAGAGAAATGAAATCTTAGTACATAAAAACTCCAAAAAGCATTCGTAAGATATCCATTGTTAAAAATTTTCTTGGCTGGGCGCAGCGGCTCACGCCCGTAATCTTGACACTTTGGGAGGCTGAGGCAGGAGGATTGCTTGATCCCAGGATTTCTAAACCAGCCTGGGCAACATAGCAAAACCCTGTCTCTATTAAAAAAAAAAAAAAAAAATTGGCGGGTCGTGGTGGCTCACGCCTGTAATCCTAGCACTTTGGGAGGCCGAGGCGGGCATATCACTTGAGGTCAGGAGTTTGAAACCAGTTTGGCCATCATGATGAAACCCTATCTCTACTAAAAATACAAAAAATTAGCTGGGCATGGTGGTGCGTGCCTGTAATCCCAGCTACTCAGGAGACTGAGGCAGGAGAATCACTTGAACCTGGGAGGCAGAGATTGCAGTGAGCCGATCTCGTGCCACCGCACTCCAGCCTGGGCAACAAAGCAAGACTACATCTCAAAAAAAAAAAAAAAAAAACCTCTTTTTAATCTTTTATTTATATTGTGTAGGCCCTATACTGTGGTATGCTAGTTTTGCGTATATAGCACTGCTTAGAAGTATGACACAGTGTGCTGACTTGGGTTTTTCTAACTATAGTAATACCTGATGTGTCACAACCATGAGATCCAGTGATTACTTGTTCCAATTTAGAATTAACATTTTTCAGAACAAGTAATGAAGTCATCATCACCTTCAAGTCATATGGTGCCTCTTTTATGTCTCAACAGGAGAGAGTTCAATTTTAAGGTTGGAAGGAACCCTATAGATCATTTAGTTCATCTCCCTCGTTTTACACATGAGGAAAATGAGGCACGGAAAGGGTAAGTACCTTGCCCATGTTCATTAGCTAGTTAATTGTTGAGTTGAGACTTGAAACCAGACCTCCAGACTCTTTGTTTCTTTTTCATTATGTCACATCACCTTTCAAAATATGACCTGAGATATAAAGCAATATAACTGGCAGCCATAATCTTACTAATAAAAATGCAAATATATGAAGGTTTAGCGTTCACAGGCTCCATATCTTTTAAGACTCTCATGTCTTTTGCCAAAAATTCTCAGTTCAATACCTGTGTGGGAAAAGTAAAAATCAGTGCGTTTACTTTTTTAATTAAAGGCATTGACTGTGTCTTGTTCATCTTTTATTCCCTAGAGTGGCTAGTATAGTGCCTTGAGCATTGTAGATGCTCATTAAATGCCGAATAAAATATAAATTATTACACATTGAATCACTCCAGTATTGACAGGAGTGACAGTGTATCACCACTGGGCATTAGATACCATCAAGAAAAAAAAAAGAGACACAAGGCTGAACTCCTGCCCAAAGTGATAACTATGCCTGCAGAGAGGTATGATAGTGATTATATTAAGACGGGTATCAAAATCATGGATTAGTGTCATGAAAGCAGGCAAGCTGGGCCAACCGGTTACTAAGTTCATATGTATATTTTACTTATTTATTTTTAGATTGAGATGAGATTTCAGTATGTTGCCCAGGGCTGGTCTCAAACTCCTGGGCTCGAGCAGCCCTCCCACTGCAGCCTGCCAAAGTGCTGGGAATACAGGCATGAACCACTGCTCCCGGACCTAAATTCTTTAATAACATTCAAAGTCTTTGATTTTTTGCTAAAATATGTTTATTTTTAACTTACAACCTAAAAAAAATACACATATAAAACATTAAAGAAAGACTGGGCATAGTGACTCACACCTGTAATCCCAGCACTTTGGGAGACCATGGTGGCAGGATCAGTTGAGGCCAGGAGTTCAAGACCAGCCTGGGCAACATAGTGAGACCCTGTCTCTATAAAACAAAACAAATAAACAAAATTAAATAAAGATTGGAGAAAAGAAGAAAACTCACCTATAATTCTACCTCAGTAATACAGACATCACCTACATGCATGTGTGAGTATGTTTGTATGTGTTGTCTTCTAGAGCTTTTTCATATGCAGGCTTTGGTTTATTTCTTCTTCTATTACTTGATCATGGTAAAAAAAATTAAGGCAGAGAAAATGAAAGTCAAGTAAAATGACCAACCCTATGCAAAAAATAACCAAGACTAATAATTTGGAGTATATCCTTGTGTAACTTTTATTGTATATTTTATATCACTGTATATCATATATACATAAACTTTGGTAGCCTGGATTTTTCTTTCATGCCATAGACTTTTTTTTTTCTTTTTAGAGACCAGCTGTTACCCTGCAATGGCACAGTCGCAGCTCACTGTAGCTTCAAATTCCTGGGCTCAAGTGATTCTCCTGCTTCAGCATCATGAGAAGCTGGGATTACAGGGACAAGCCACCATATCTGGCTAATTTTACAATTATTTTTGTAGAGATGGGGTCTCCCTATGCTCGCTGGGCTCGTCTCGAACTCCTGGATTAAAGCAGTCCTCCTGCTTTGACCTCCCATAGTGCTGAGGTTATAGGCATGAGCCATCGCGCCTGACCTGGATTTTATACTGAGCACTATAAGGAAGGAGGTTGTCTAGAGAATAGATATCCTAGGAAACTGAGAATGGTTCCAAGGCTTGTAGGTCCTAATCAGCTTAAAGAACAAATTTTATGTAACCAGGGAGTTGAAAAATTGGAAAAATAGGAAATTATGAGCAGGAGGTTGGGCTTTCTAAGTTATTGCATAAAAAAACCAGGCTTATATTTAGATATCTAATACTATTGAGATTGAAGACAAGCATGACTTTCATGTAATAATAGTTACGGTAAACTATCAAAAAGTCTAATTAGATTTAAAATATATTAAACCTAATTTTGGATATTCCAGATGAAATATTTTCATTTTCTTTTTCTTTTTTTTTTTTTTTTTGAGACAAAATCTCACTCTGTCGCCAGACTGGAGTGCTGTGACGTGATCTCAGATTGCTGCAACCTCTGACTCCCTGGTTCAAGCAATTCTCCTGCCTCAGGCTCCCAAGTAACTGAGATTACAGGCACGCGCCATCACGCCCAGCTTTTTTTTTTTTTTTTTTTGTATTTTTAGTAGAGACAGAGTTTCACTGTGTTGGCCAGGATGGTCTCAATCTCCTGACCTCGTGATCCGCCTGCCCCTGCCTCCTAAAGTGCTGGGATTACAGGCTTTGGGAGCCACCACACCCAGCTGAAATGTTTTCATTTTCACAGTAAATGTGTACATCTTTATTTTTACTTAGTGCTTAACTAAAAGTGATAGATCAGGTCGGGTGTGGTGGCTAATGCCTGTAATCCCAGCACTTTGGGAGGCCAAGGCAGGGAGATCACTTGAGGTCAGGAGTTTGAGACCAGCCTGGCCAGCCTGGTAAAACCCTATCTCTACCAAAAATATAAAAAAGTAGCCAGGTGTGGTGGTGCGCACCTGTAATCCCAGCTACTTGGGAGGCTGAGGCAGGATAATTGCTTGAACCTGGGAGGCAGAGGTTGCAGTGAGCCAAGATCGTGCCACTGCCCTCCAGCCTGGGCAACAGAGCGAGACTCCATCTCAAAAAAAAAAAAAAGGTGATAGATCAATATTATAAATAATAAACTTATACTCTCCTATTATTGGGTATATTTTGAATATATTTTTTTGCCTTGGACTTTTGAAACAATCTTGGTCACATTACTTATTATTATTTATTTTTTTGAGACAGAGTCTCACTCTGTTGTCCAGGCTGGAGTGCAGTGGCACAATCTTGGCTCACTGCAACCTCCACCTCCCGGATTTAAGTGATTTTCAATACCTCAGCCTCCTGAGTAGCTGGGACTACAGGCATGTGCCATCTCGCCTGGCTAATTTTTGTATTTTTTGTAAAGACGGGTTTTCACCATGTTGGCCAGGCTGGTCTCAAACTCCTGACCTCAGGTGTTGTGCCTGCCTTGGCCTCCCAAAGTTCTGGGATTCCGTGTGCAGCCTGGAATAGGTTTTTGCTACGGTTTGAATGTGTCCCTCAAAATTCATGTGTTGGAAGCCTAATTCCCAATGTGATAATATTAAGAAGTGGGGCCTTTAAGAGATGATTAAGTCATAAGGGTGGTGCCTTTATGGATGGGATTAGGGCCCTTATAAAAAGACTGAAGGTTGAAGGGGGAGCTCTCTTGCACTCTTACATGTGATGACACGCCAAGAAGGTCCTTGCAAGATGTCAGCACCTTGATCTTGAACTTCCCAGCCTCCAGAACTATGAGACAATTAATTTCTGTTCTTTATAAATTACTCAAAGTCTCCAATATTCTGTTATAGCAGCTCAAACGAACTGAAATAGTTTTTTTGTTTTGTTTTTTTCCCACTCATAAAAAGGGACACCCAGGAATTCACTAGACTTTGCTGTGTCTGCATGTGACAAGTAAACCACAGAAGCCATTTTAAGACAATAAGTTAAAAATAAAGCCACCATGGGCTGGGCGCAGTGGCTCACACCTGTAATCTCAGCACTTTAGGAGGCCAAGGCAGGCAGATCACTTGAGGCCAGGAGTTCAAGACCAGCCTGGTCAACATGGCGAAACCCCATTTCTACTAAAAATACAAAAATTAGCCAGGCATGGTGGTGCGCACCTGTAATCCCAGCTACTTGGGAGGCTGAGGCACAAGAATCACTTGAACCTGGGAGGTGCAGGTTGCAGTGAGCCAAGATCATGCCACTGCATTCCAGCCTGGGTGACAGAGTGAGACCCTTTCTCAAAAAATAAAAATAAAGCCACCATGCTGAAGATGTTAGAGCAGAAAGAACTGGAAGGAATCTGAGTTTTTGGTGACATGATTAGCTGCTGAATTGGAACCATCCTACCTCAGACTCCTTGTTATATGAGATAACACATTTACATTATGATTTAAATCAGTTGAGTTTCCTGTTATTTGCAGCCCAAAATAAGAGAGATCCAACTATCCCTAAAAGAGAGACTCAGCCTGGCTGAGGTCTGAGCTCCTGAAAAATGGTCTCCACCATGTATTTCCTTAAACTGAGCATTTAATTCTATCAATCTTCAGACATAGTACTTTAATTTTCACTTCCTGTATTATACTTAACAGTTACCGTATGCGTACTGTTGCTCAAGACCACTGGCGGATTCAGAAATAGAACACAGTGCCTAGGTCAAAATGGAAGTTTACAACTTTAATGAAGCCCTTTGACAGAGTACAGGAAATCAAAGTCAACCAAACGGGAAGTAGATAGAGCAGAACAGAGCAGCCGGAAATATTTGGGCCTGGCACAAGAATTAGTCTATATACAGAACACCTATAAAACAAACAAAATATTTAGAGTTGAAATCTTTAAATTTGTAAACACTTAAAGGGGATCATTTAAAGAAGAAGAAAAACAAGGAAGTAAACGGAGGACAGAAATGTCTCTTGCCAGAGTACTTATTGCGTAAACCAAAGAATGTTTCTGCACAGCTTGTAGCAGTTTTAAAACATTATTTAACTTAATTAATTAATTTCTTTTCAAGGCAGGGTATTGCACTATCTCCCAGGCAGGAGAGCAGTGGTGCAATCATCGCTCACTGCAGCCTCCACCTTGTGGGCTCAAGCAGTCCTCCCACCTTAGCCCCCCAAGTAGCTGGGACCACATTAGGTGCACGCCACTAGGCCCAGCTAATTTTAGTTTTAAAACATACTTGCAAATTCCTTGATCTTCCCCCCATGAAGAGGTGAACTTTGTGGCCCTCCCTTTGATTTTGGGCCAAACATTAGTGACTCGTTGACCAGTAGGGTATGGCAGAAATGATTCTGTGTGACCTTCTGGACTCAGTCAAAAAAGGTGATACAGATTCTCCCTGGTTCTCTGTACCCTGCATTAGAGCCTTGAGCCACTGTCTAAGAAGCATTACTACCCTGAGACCACCAT